GCTAGCTAAATTTAAACTCAGACTTTTTTAAAAACAGCTGAGTTTCTAAAGTAAACACCAAGAGATCCTCAAATACAGTAGTTTTAGTGAGTATAAGCATAATACGTATAGAATGCTTTAGTAACTTAATTTAATTAAATTTTACTGTAGATTATTAATAACAACAGCTACAAGCAACACTTATCTATTACTTTATAAATATTAACTAATTCTCACAGCAGGATAACAAACAGGATAAATGACTTGCTCAACTTCACAGAGGAAGTTTGTGTGAGAACAAAAAGTAACGCTTGGCTCCTAATCCTGTGCTCAGACACTTCTCTTATAATGTGTGGACCCACTGGCAGGAGCGGGGCTTATAAGAGCAATATAACATAAGTACTCACTGTCTTTCCATACTTGCTATTTCCTGATTATCTTCTTTAACCTATAAAAAATGAACAAGAAATGTTTCAATATGGGGAATAAATTCAAAGACAAAAAAGAGAGAGACAATCTAAAAGATGCACAAACCCAAATGATTAACTCAGTTATGTTAGGAATGAAGGCTCAGCCTGCCAAAGATCTGCTTGGAAATCATTTTTCTACAATGGTTGCTTTGCTGAATAAAAGATGCAATATTATCATTTAGTGGTGTCATCATTTCAGCTACCTCCCCGTGCTGCTCTTCTTTCCCAATACCTATTTTAAACTTTAATGCTCTGCAACACTTACTCACATGAATACTTCTTACGCATGCAAACAGCTTCATTTAAATTAATCAGACTACTTATGTTTAGTAGGAATTACTCACACCAGAAAAGGTTGCAAGACCGGGTCCTTAATGAATAAAACAGCTCATCTTTCCCAAACTTTTTAGTCTTGAGTTAGAAAGATGTTAAAGAAAATGAATCTAATTTTCCCACCCGAGTGCTCTCTTTCCATCCTGAAAACCTGGTGTGAAAGTGACTGGAACAGGAGCTGCCTCTGACAGTTTTTACATTAGCTGAGAGCTCCACCCCACCAAATAATTCTTAATCCAGGTTCCAGCCCCTTTGTGATGCTCAAAGAGCAAAAAGGGCCAGAATCATGGCAGAGAATTCAGCCCAGTATTTTAACATTTTCATTCTTTAAAAAACACTGAATTAAAAAAGCCTTGTAAACAAAAGATGTAATAATCATTTTGTTTTCCTGCCTGTTTCAGTAATCTCTCTCTTTCTTCCTGTGGAGATCCCATACTCCTGTCCTCAGCAATCATTTGATCCCGATGTTCCTCGAGCCCATGAAGTTTTTCATACAGCTGCACTGCCTCTTGTTTTACCTGGGAATGTGCTATTTCCTGAGTATAACAAACAAACAAACACACACTTACTGGTTAGACACATTTCTAGTAGGTAAGAAATTGTTGCAGTGCTTGTATTTTTATTTAGCAAAGTTCACATATTTAATAAAACAAGTTTATTTGGCAACTGTACAATGAAGTCTGTACAAAGGACCACCCATATAATCTGTCTGTCTAGGATCTTGCTCTTAAGCACAGTTTCTGAGCATCTCAGTGCTATCTGGGTGCTTTATTAGGCTATGTCTTGCTATGAGGGTCTACCCTAATGGAGCTCCAAATTTACCAAGTACATTTCTGCTCCTTCTTTGCTGGAAGATAATCTCTGTTAAGGAACTTTTATGGGGGAAGGGGCAGAAAGGCCTTGCATGGCCAAGACATTTTCACTAGGATATCAAGGCACATGCACACATCAAAAGATCTAATATTTGAAGGGGTTGTCAAAATATCTATGCCACTGACCTGTGAAAGTAAGAGAAGAGGAAATTACTTCACTGTAACTGTTGTTTTCTGAGGATATACACTACATCTTTTCCACACTTTTGGGCGCATGTTCCTCTGTGAGACCATTGCAGGCAATCTTCAACTTCAGTGGATTAAACCTATTGATTTGTATGTGTGTAGCACAACCCCTGCTATGGAATTTAGGCCAGTTCTTTCAAAGTGGGAGATGAAGTCACTCACGCACATATTAAAGAAGACTGAGTCGTACGGAGAAATTGCAAACCTCTCAACTGTCCGGGGAGAAGAGTTTGTGAGTGATCTGATGTATATATTCAGAGAAAAATTAAAAGTAATTCTCTGATTTCTAATGTCACAAAAGAATACATCTGACACTGTTAAGGGTAACCGAAAAATAGAGTTTAGAAAGGAAACTTCACCATAGCTATATGAGTTTGCTATCCTGAATGCTAGAGTGGTAAAATATGTTCTATTTTCTTTCTGAGGAGCAAATCCAAGGCAGTGGAAAACATGGAGGAAAGCCACAGGCCTACTACACACTTAAGTGACAGCACAGTGTATATTCACCATGGGCAAAATTTAGCTCAGGCTAGGGAGTACAAGCAAGCCCCTGCATGCTACTTAAGCACTATGTTGCTTCTGCAAGGATGGGAGTGGGAGAAATTACCATGCAAGATGACCTTCAGTAGAGCACCGATACTAGATCAAAATAAGTGACTGTGGAGGGGACCACTGATTTGGGCTCATACACATACCGTATGTACAATAACAAGGAGCCCCTATGTTGGGGTTTGGAAGGACTGCAGCTGGTGTTCCAGCACATAGGCTAGAAAAGTGGCCACAGAAGGACAGTGTTACAGCCCTGATCTTGCTTGTTGATGGAATTCTATTTGCCCGGACATTTGTTTAGATCCACACAAAAAAACAATTACTCTATTAGCACAAAAAAGAGTGATTTTCTTAATACTTTCAAAAGTGCTAGTTTACATCTATGATGTAATCACTGAGCTATATTTCACATGTATGATATACTAGCTGTGAAATACAGTTATCTGATTACCTGATACCTAGCAAAAATAAGTTATAAATTGTAATTGGTGGGGTTTTGGCCCTATCTGATAAAAATAAAATTATACAAATTAATGGGCTGAGTCCACACCACTAAAATAGAGGCGAGCTTTGCCCTTATCTTCAATGGGTGCAGGATTAAGCCGTTAAAGAGTTACAGACAAAAATATACTGTGATTACTTTGTTGACGTAAGAATTTTTTTTTTTTGCATTTACTAACATAAATAGATCAGTTATTTATCTTCATACATACAGCTCCTAGAGTGTCTTCCTTTATATTTAGTCCATCCAACTCCTGCTGTTGAGCATCTAATTCCTAAAGAAAACAAGCATGAATAGTTTAGGTAACAATTACCACTGGAGGAGGATTTACTTCCCTATTCTACACATTTTATACTTGCAAATGCTGTAGAACATTTAGTTGATTTGTTAGGTATATATGTGAATAGGTTAAGACCCCTTCCTCTAAACAGCTCCAGGCAGAGCTTCACTGACTTTGCAGTACTGGAGTCTTTGTTAATAAGATTCATATAATTGTTACTTGTATTTTGGCTATAATTATGAACCATTGTCCCCTTTCATCAATTTTTTTTTGAAGGGAAAGTGTCTGTTGAAAAAATATTATATATTTTAAAAATATCCTCATCTCTTTTGTTAAACTTTAGATAACTGAAACTGAAAGAATTTTAAAAATCTAAGTTTAATTTTTGCAGTCATTTTCATTTATGTGAATGTCAGGCAGTTACTGTAGTGGATAAGGAATTAGAAATCTTGGGTTTTGCTCCCAGCTCTATCACTGACTTGCAATGTGACCTTGGGTAGGTCATTTAAGTCTGGATCCTGCATAGTTTATAATTGTTCTTAATTTTACTCATGTGTTTAAAGTTAAGCATCTAACTGTTTGCAGGATCAGGGCCTTAACCTCTACACCTTTATTTCCCCCATCTGTAAAATGGGAATAATGATGGAGGAGAAAGAGGATGATCTATCCTTTGTATACCACGTTGATATCTACAGGTGGAAAGTCCTAAGTATTATTTTGTTTCTAGTCAATTTCATTTTCTGATTTTCATGGATTAGCACAAAGTTGAAATGTTGGTGATAATGCTACCTGAAATTTTCCTTTTAAATTAATCAGATCTTAAATTCTTCAGTATTCCAAACTATACAGTGGAAATCATCGAGCTAATTTCACATACATCTTAGACAAACAATATGACAAAACCCACCTGCAACAGTTTTTCATTTGTAGCCTTCATCTCCATGTATTTAGCTTGATTTTCCTGAGACATATTTTTTATTATGTCATCAGCTACTTGTTTTTCACGCTCAATATCTTCTTCCACTGCTTGAATTAACTTTTCTTTGCTGTAATAACAGAGGAAAGTAAGAGTACTTTTGTAACTTGTACTAGGTACTACTTATACTTTTTATTTATTCCATGCTTTGTACCCCTTGAAACAATCTAATTTCACACAAAAAATATACAACTAACTTCTTTCCCCAGAATAAAATAAATATATTCCAGCTGATAAAATAAGTGCACCACTACCATAGATTTTTTTGCTTGAAATATATATGATACACATTGTATAACGCTGGATTGATTCTTCTGTCCTTACACAAGTTTAACTCACTGAAATCAATGTGAATTTTGAACACAAAACAACTTTAGGGTCAAACCTATCATAAAGTAATTTTTTGAATGTTGACATACCATGCAATGTTCCCCCTAAATAAAGAGGGATTATGTGACAGATTTAAGCTACTACTAGAGATAGTTGCTTCAATTACATCACAATTATATACAAATTAGCAAACTAAAAAGATGAGGTTTGCAAACCATGAATTTTCATTTAAAAATGTGCACATCTGTAAAGATCTGAAGATTTTACTTATCTGATGACTAGATTCCACTTACAAAATAAACCTCTTCTCTTAGAAGTATCTTTAATTGACCACAACTCATCCTTTGTGTAAACTCCTGCAATATTTTAACTTGATTTCTCCTATGTGATCAGAAATTCTGAGGCCTAAACATATCATTACCAGACTTCCTTATTGGCTGTACATCCAAATAAATCTAAGTGACTACAAGAAATTGCGCAACCTAGTCAATCTTTTGCTAAGGGAGTTATAGTCTTTTATTTATTTATTTTTAGCTACCTGCCCGTTCACGGAGTACAAAGGTTGAAAACAAAGTAAAGTGCTGTTGCAACACATCACTTCTTTTTAATGCCCAGGAAACACACAACTACACATATGCTCTCTCAGAAAAAATAGAAAGGTAAGATACTTTATAGAATTTTTTTACGAAACCAACTTAATATCTTAAGTGTGTGGGAAAATACTTTGTTTATATAATTTGGCTGTCAGATTGGAAATAGATCATACATTAAAGACGCTTTGCGTTCCTCAATCAATATGAACCTTCACAAGCCAAGCTACTGCGTTATGCTTTGTTAGAAGATTAGAAAACAACTGTAGTCTTTTGGAAAGGAAAGATTTTCTGATTTTACAAACTACATTTCTTCCCAATTTATTCTTGAAAACTGCATATTTTATTGTTTTTAACTAATATAGGAAGTGTAAAGGAACACATCCCTGTGAAATGAAAAATCCTAAAAAGCCATTTATGAAACATTTTCAAAGAAAGCACCTATGGGCTCAGATCATAGGAGAATGTCAAGATATTAACGATGTGCTGCCAGCCTGAGTTTTTTGCAAAATGACTAATTTAAAAAAAAATCTATTTTCCAATAGATCATCCTTCAAATAGTATATGGTGAATTTTTTATAATCCTTTATCTTTCTGCTCTTACGTTGATGATTATATGGGTCTTTTCATTGCAAAAGAAACTGACTGACTATAAAAGGAAAATTTTTTAGACAGAAATGGATTTATTGAGTTTACAGTGTCCCTTTAATTCAGATGTACTGAACAACTTTGATAATTTTCACCATTTAGCAACTTGTAAAGATTTGTTTCCCCTTTTCAAATTGCAATAATATTCTGAGTCAGGATTGCTTTAATAGCCTGCCCTCCCTAGGTGTGCAGAGAAACCCACAAATCTCAGGTATGCTGCAGTGATGGGCGACAGGGGATGGATCACCTGATGATTACCTGTTCTGTTCAGACCCTCTGAAGCACCTGGCATTGACCACTGTCAGAAGACAGGATACTGGGCTAGATGGACCTTGCATCTGACCTAGTATGCCGTTCTTATATTCTTATGATAACTGAAAGTTTCTGTACAGCAGTGGTTCTCAACCAGGAAGTCCAAGGCCTCCTGCAGGGTTGTGAGCAGGTTTTAGGGGATCCACCAAGTATGACCAACATTAGACTCGTTAGGGCAGAAAGCCAAAGCCCTGCTGCACAAGATGTAGCCCAGGGCCCCGAGCCCTGCCACCTGGGGCTGAAGCTGAAGCCTAAGCAACTTAGCTTTCCGGGGGCTCCCTGTTGTGTGCGGCCCCAGGCAACTGCCCTGCTTGCTACCCCCTAACGCCGGCCCTGGCTTTTATATGCAGAAAAACAGTTGTGGCATAGTTGGGACGTGGAGTTTTTCTAGCATGTTGGGGCAGCCTCAGAAAGAAAATGGTTGAGAACCCTTTCTATAGAGCCTGTGGAGTGAATCTAGCAGATGTACATTTCCAACAACAGTGGAGATACACAACTGGCTAGAGCAATCCCCATCTTCCTAAGGGGGCAGACAAGCAACTAGCTAGGTTGGGTCAGCAGCCCACACCTGTAAAAGAGATCAGAAGTACTATTTGAGATAAAGAGCTATAAGCCAATGTGCCCAGCAAACAAGTTTGCCAATGGCTAGGCCTGCTATCATGGTACGAGATTGGCAAAGGCTTCCTTTAACTAGCTTTGAGAAGAATTGAGACCTAGCTTTTAAGAAATAATTTTGATGCTGGAAAGTCTCTTTATTCATCCTAATATTTCGTTTGCTTTTTTGATCGCAGCTGCACATTGACCAGATGTCTTCACTGAGCCATCCACAGTTGAGTCTAGGTCCTTTTTCAGGGTTTATACAGTTAACACGGAAGAACCCTGTAAGGTGTCTGAGTTTTTAACTTTTTCTCCTCCACTGTGCATTACCTTACACTTACCAACATTAAAATTCAGGTGCAATTGTGTTGCCCATTCACCTAGCTTGGTTAAGTCTCTCTTTGGTCTTGATTAACCTAAATAACTTTATGTCATCTGCAGACTTTGCTACCTTCCCACTCACTCCCCTTTTCCAGCCCATTTATAAATATATTAAACAGAGGACCTGCTGTGAATCTTTAACCATGATGGATATTGGCCATTTAATCCTGCTCTTTGTTTTCTGTCTCCTAGCTAGCTTTTGACCCATGACTACTTAGGGTTTTTTATCAGCCTCTTGTGTGGGACCATGTCAAAGACCTTTTGAAAGTCTAAATAAATTATCTCATATCATTCTCCTTTATCCACAACTTTACTAACAAGTTTGAAGACTGTGAATACATTTTCCTTTTGCAGAAACCATGCTGGTTACACCCCATTATATCATAATCTTCCAGATGTTTTATTATTCTATTTTTAATTATTGTTTCAACCAGTTTGCCAGGTAGAGATGTAAGGTTTACTGGTCTGTAATTAACCTGATCACTCCTAGTGCCTATTTAGAATACAGTCCCTAAATTTGCACTGCATATGTCTGAAGGAGCCTAGATTCAACTTCCTTAAGGGGTGATAAAGTAAATTTTTCCGAACTCTGGTTTTCCTGCCGAATCCTATTTCTCCATCTCTGATGATTTTGCCTCACAGGATTTTTGCCTTTCTTGAAAATCCAAAGATGCTGCATCCATGTATACTTTAATAAAGCTTACATGGTTTGCATTCACTTTTACTTTATTTTACTTGATGGGTTTATCTTGCCAATAAACCCTGATTCAAAGGAGCAGATGGACCAGGTATCATTTGCACAATTTCTGAGGTAGATTCATCTTAAAATGAATAGCCTCTGTAAGGAAAGCACTCATGATTTCCAATAGATGGGGTTTTTGAACAGGGATACACCCTAACACAGCATTTTGAGCGCCATGGTTACCTAGCTCCAAAGCATAGATGAATAGGTCGGTGCATGGGGCTATCCTATGACACGAATAATAGACAGCTTATGAGTTCCATTGACCGTGCTTGTCACCACATATACTGATCGATTGCACAAAAGCTGCCTGGTTGGTTTCAGGTTTGGCTCAGTTCAATAAAGGCTGCAGCTATTTTGGCTAAAACACATCTTTCTCTCCAATTAGAGTCTTATTTAGGCTCTTGGCAATATTTACGTAAGACAAAAACACAATAAGTTATGATGAATCATTTGTTTCAACTATAAATCAACACTTCTGTTTACATTACTAAAACCATCTTCTTCAGGAGCATGCCTTTAAACTACTAATACAACAACTTAAATTTTGGCCCTAACATGCAAAAATATTCTCTCTTCCAGATTCTGAACATGAAAATCCCTTGGCTAATGATCTGGATTGGAGCACTATTTTCCAATCCAGTCAAGACTGACTGCAATATTACTTCTCTTTCTGTAAGTTTTATAACCATATAAACTAATCTGTTTAATTTTTGCTCATTTTTGTAGAAGTTCCATCGAAATTACATGAGAATTTGTAGATCAAAGACATTATGTATTTTAACAATAGTCCCATCTTCAACCACCTCAATACTTTATGGTGTGTATATATACAAAGCCTACATAAAGCTATAGCGGGAGGGAGGGAGAGATATATATATTCAACAACCTGATGGTGGAAGCATGTAGAAATGGAACAAACAACATGGCTTTCTTTTAATTGCACAATAAAGCAATGCAAATCATTATGACAAGGCTGCACTTGGTAATTTATTGAATTGCAAACATGTTTGATATGTTTATGTTTTCAGATCTTGATCCAAAACCCACTGACGTCAACGGTCTTTTCCCTGACTTCATTCAGTTTTGGAGCAAGCTCAAAAAACTGCAAGCTGCTGGGCACCCTCAGCCAAGAGTGCTGACGGAGTTTAGCCCCACAGCTTTTGAAAACAATACTAGTAATAAGAGACTGGAATTTAATTTTTCACCTCACTCTTTCCAAAGAGAATTTTAATTGAATCGCATCCTCCTTCTTGTACTTATATTTTGGGTGCCATGATGGACAGTCAGGTGATTAAACTGCGGTTATATTGATTACTCTGCTTACATTAAGGAAGTGACTCAGTGCCTACATGTCTAGAACTAACTTTGCTATTTATCTTTTGCACTAACCTGTGGGAGAGGAAATTACACACACACACACACACACACACACGAGAAATCCACCATCTTGTAAAAATAAAACAGGTCTCAGCGTATTCATTGGTAGGCAGAATAAAATCAGGACAGTAGGCTCTCAGAGCTGAGATGACTGCAGGTAGGTTAGTTTCAACCCAGAAAATCAAATTAGTGTCTTGGTTGCAATAAAGATTTAATCTTTAGTGAACTCAATCCTTCTCCAAAAGGTCTGCCTGAAAATCTTATTAAAATAAATATCTTTACAGAGGGAACAAAAAATAAAGAGAAAACAAAAAATGAGTTAATTCTCAAACTCTTGCCCCCTTCCTGTCATTCAGCCACTACACCTTTCTTCAGGGATCTTCTGGTTATGTAGGAAGGCAGTTCTTTTTATACTCAGCCCCCTTCCCATCAGGCCTGGCCAAAACTTCACATTACATTCCTAATTGCTCTTGGTCATTAATTCCCAGCTTTACCCCCTCACCACAGAGGGGAGTTTCACCTCTCTGTCTTGGAATTCCACACTCCAAAACTGCTTCACTAAGGGCTTGTCTAGACTTACAGGGGGATTGATGCGTGGTGATCAATGCATCGTCAGTCGATTTAGCGGGTCTAGTGAAGATCCGCTAAATTGACCGCAGATCGCTCTCCTGTCGACTCCTGTACTCCATCAGATCGAGAAGAGTAAGGGGAGCCGACGGGATAGCGTCTCCCATCGACATCACGTAGTGTGGACCCCACGGTAAGTAGATCTAAGCTACATTGACTTGAGTTATGCTATTCACGTAACTCAAGTTGCATAGCTTAGATCGACTTTTCCCTGTAGTGTAGACGAGGCTTGAGATGATTTCCACCACCTCAGTATATCCCACAAGTATATTTTCAAGAAAATCAGGAATAGGATAGTACAGGCCCAGGACGGCTTTCCTTTTGGACCTCAAAGAGTTGGTACACTTGGTTACAAGGGTTTTTTGCACTGCAGGTGCTTGTCACTGTTTCTCTCTCCTTCACCATCAACCCTCCCTACTAGAAAATAATTTGTAATTTTCTATGTTTATATTGTTTTTCTCTCTCCCTTCAACAGGTCACTTGTGAGGAATCTGCAAAGAATTACTCTTCTATCCCTACCTCCCTAAGTAAAAATGTTACTAAACTGTATCTTAGCAATAACAACATTACTTTAAATGATACCGACAAAACGGTTCTGCAGCTATTTATTAACTTGACTGAACTCTATCTGAATGAAAATGCCATTACTGTGCTGCATAATAATACCTTCTGCAATCTGTCAAAACTCACAGTTCTAGATATTAGTAGTAATTATATCAGTACAATTGAACAGGCTGCATTTAAAGGCCTAAATCAACTATCCATATTGTATCTAAATCATAACAAAATATCCCAGTTGGATTCTGACACAACTGCATCGCTAAAAAACCTGATGATTTTGAGTCTACAGGAAAATTTGTTGAAGTACTTTGATGTAAAAGCATCACTTAAACTGATTACCTTAAATGGAAATCCATGGAATTGTTCCTGTGGCCTGCTCAGTTTACAGAAATGGTTGAATACCTCAAATGTGACAATGGGTAAGTTTGACAACAGCAGCATTCAGGACATTACAATATTTACAAACGTAATCCCTCTGCAGTGTTTGTTTCTCTCCAATCAATCAGCATTATCTTGGTCTTACCTGGTTGCGCCTCATCCAGCTTGCCCTCATGTATAAAATATGATTTAATACTGTTAATTAATAATGAACCTCACTTATATATCACAATATCTCACTTACACTGCAGCACAGACCCTATAAATATAATCTTTCATTACCTTTTTATTATTCATACTTTCAGAACATGAAAATGATACTCTGTGTGCATATCCAGATGTCTGGAACAAATCGTCTATCAAGACAGCACCTATCCAAAAATCTGATTGTGACTCAAGAAGAGGTTCTATAGCAATCACTACACCTTCCACATCTGCCATCAGTCCTAAAATCATTTCCATTTTAACATCCTCTCTCAATTCTTCAAACAACAATATTAGGAGCAATGCATCATATCCAGGTGATGTATTGATGTTTTATTTTAATACTTCATAATAGCACTGTCCAATACTAGTGCTATGGGACATTTCTCCAAATAAGTTAGGGATATGGGGATTGCTGTGCTCCTAGGCACAGAAATATTGTGTTCACATTATGTGGAATTTATGTTATGTTTAACTTTATCAGGAGCTCAAACCTGACCTGAATTAGAACTCCATTATGGAATATTGTAAAATAATATCTATAAACTAATGATGTGAGAAGATTTGAGGTTCAAATAACGATCCAAGTGTTTGTATTTTAAATGAACTACAATCAAGCCACCCAGTTAAACCGCCCACAATCTTCTATGCCTGAAATAGGCTCCTTCCTATTTTTAGTTTTCTTCTTGGTATGTAAACAAGGTCTACTGATTTACTTACCCATATCCTTATCCCTAACCTCTGGTGTATTTAGTGGGAGGGCACCATGACTGTTCCCACGCTACCCCTATTGGAAACACGAAGGAGCACTTACACCACTTTCTCCACCACTGCTGTCCCATTTTGAACCACCTCCACCCCCCCACTTGATACCCTTTCTCTCCCTTTTGACCCACAATTTATTCTCTATTTCATCCTCCAGCCAAATGATTCTGGTCCCCTGCCTTTTCCCACTCAGAGTAGCAACTCCACTTCCTGCTCCTGAGACTCTCTCTCCTCTGCACAAAGAGACCAATAGGACCGATGAGTGACTGAAGTGGGAGAAAGGGATGGCAATCTCTGGATTGTTTTATACCTAGGAGGCCAGCACAGCCACAAAATCCCTTAGGATGCAGCAGCTGCCATAATTCCCTGGACACTAGCCAGCACTGTGAACACACAGGGTAGATTTCCAAATAAAGATTCTTGGCAGCTATGATCTGTTGGGATTCTCATAATAAAGGAAATATATCTGGAGAGGTGCAAAATGAAAGAAAATTAAAAAGTGACTATCTGGATGTAGATGTTCTAGAGGGCAATAATGTCAGCTTGAAGCTTGAAAATGAAAATGAAAGTCAATTACACGTTCTATTGTCCTATTCCAGGGATGAATCTAAAGTTCACTTAAAAGCTGAATAATGATTCGAGGAATGTGCCCAGAACATTTCAACAGACCTTCAGCCCTGAAAAGAAGTTACTTATTTAAACTTGGCCACACAGCACATTCTGAGTATCTAGAGGGTGAAAATATGGACTTAGGTACCCGCACGTAAAAAGTTTGTTCTCCGTGCAGAGATTTTGGTTGCCCAAACATTAGTATTCTATTAATGTTGTACAAAGAGTCTCAAGAATTCTTCTCTCTATCACTTTGTTTCCATTAATCCCTTATTGGGCCATGAAGCAATTAATATCAGTTTTTTTGGGTATTATGCAAGGAGCTGGTTATTTTGGTTTAAGATATTTAATTTAATGTGATTTTACTTTCTTTTGTATTCCTTAAGGTTCTCCACCTCTTGGCAAAAGTTGGGTCTTTCTGCTTGGTGTTCTGGTGTTTGTCCTAAGCTCTTCACTACTGATTTTTATTGCCATAAAATTCCCACTGTGGTACCTCTACTTGACCAGCTACAATCACCGTCGTCTGAAAGAATATGAACCAGAAATGTTTGATAAGGAGTTCACAACTGATCTGAGCACTTCTCCATCAATATCAAATACCAATGAGCAAGATTCCATTGTAGTATTTGAACAAACTCATACATTTGTACTTGACGAGGATGGATTTATTGAGGACAAATATATAGACGACCCTGGATTAACTGAAGAGGTCTAAATTCTTATATAATGGATGATAATTTGGCTTTTCAATAGCTGATTATATAGGATCAATCCATTCAAAATCTCGTATATAAATATTTCTAGTATATATCACAGATAGAACTCAAAGCCCTCAATCTCTCTCTTTTGGACAAATGTGTGGCACATGTTGTATTAACTGTAGAAGTAAGAAATCTGGTGATGTGCATGTATTACCACAGTAACAAATATTTCAAAGTACATAAGCATATACTCCATATGTCTGACACTAAAATCTCACTGTTTGATTATAAATGGGGGCAAATAACACCTACTTCTTATATAGTATTTTCATCAGTAGATCTCAAAACACTTTACAAAGGTAGCAGCCAGGAACAGAGGAACAGAGTGGGGAAGTGACATGCCAATGTCACCCAGGAGGCCACTGGCAGAAGTGGGAATTGAACCCAGGTCTCCTGAGTCTCAATTCAACGCTCTATCTACTAGGCAAAACTAAAAACATTGATTAGAGCACTTGGGATTTTCCAGCTAAGCCAAACTCAGTTTTCTTTATTCATAAACAAAAAGTATTTGTTTGAGTAAGCAAAATAAAAATGCTGTCTCACCTCCACCACTTGAATGCATCCAAGGACAAACTATCATTATTATATACCAGCCACCTTTTTATCTTCTGCCACTGTTGCCTGATGTCTTTTTTGTTAACATGTTATGAATATTTGAAAACTGCCAATGCAGTACATATTTTTCATAACTTAAAGAAAACACTGAGACAGGTAATGTTTAAATTGCAGGTAGATGAATCTCTTCAAGATTTTCAAATATGTTGTTGAAATATAGGAAAACATTTTATTTAAGGAATAATTTATGGTAAATGAGAAAATAGACTTTTGTTTTTAATATTAGAAGAAAAATGTATTTTGCATTATTTCACAAAAGTGTTTATAAAATACAGTGGATAGCAAAATGCTCCACATTTTTCATCATTTTTTATTAAACTTTTAAAGTCACAAGATCTTTACATTGTATAAAAAACAAGATTTGAAACATTAATGGCCCAAATCTATCCTCAAATAGACCCACTGGAATAAACGCC